AATTAAGAAATGAGTAAAAGTTATAAAATATTGTAAAATATAACGGTAAGAAATGTTTCGATCCATTAAGATCTAGAAAGTCGAAATTCGGAGATCCAAAAAAAGCATTTCAGTGTCTTCTACTAATAGTGCCTTAAGGAAGTGTACTGCCGAATATCCCGCTGTTCTTAAATACGCAAAAGAGAAAGTCAGGATCGCTTGCAGGCTGACTATCAGGCGATGCAGCATCGGCTAAGGAAACCGACTAAACAGGCAGCTCCTGCAGACGTGGTTGCAAATGAAACCTATTTTCAAAAATGGTTATGGACTGGGAGAGAATCAAAGTAAATCCGTATGCCACGTGCTACCCAATACAGCATCGGCCTTTTTGCTTCAGATTAGCACATCTACTATGTCTTTCAAAGCAGAATATGCCTTCTTTCATCCTGGTTACCTCCCACAGGCAGTCTTTTTTGTGGCGGTTTCTTTTTGCAGGCCTTTCACGGGTTTTAAGCTACAAAATACTCGAAGTATAAAAATCCCGAAAATGGAAAGGGAGAAAAAATCCGTACCGCAGTTTTTTGGCCGATGGGCTGCTGCCCGCAGTACTGCCGAGTTCAGCGTCGCCGTGCTCCGGCATTCGCGTGTAGATGTTATAGTTGCTTCCATGCTGGTGAGGCGGCGGCGTATACGATGTCATAGAGTGCCCCTCCTGAAACACACCATTCTTGAACTATTGAGCATTTGCACAACGAATTCGAGCCGACCTGTAGAAACATCACGAATTCTCGAACTCTGAAATATCTTGCGAACCTCGGCACCTCGAATTTCTCACTGAGTCTCCGCGCTGTGCACGGGCAGCTTAGTTCCTTCCTCACCACTGCCAATTTCATTGCCCCCGGCATGGAAGCCGAGCTCCCTATCACTTCTAGCGACTACCAGCCAAGTTCCAAATCTCAATGCAATTTTTAAAGTGCGGGAAATCGTCACGCCACATCTGGTGGGACGCGCAAAAATCGGCGTTTTAAAACGAAATTACGCCTATTTCTGCGCTGAAATTGGCCGTTCGAGGTGAAACAAGGGGGGTGGCATCACATGTACCTCCTAACTGGTAAAGGTAACACAATCAGATGCAGTTCAGAACGGAAACATCGGAGAAGGCTTCGGAGGCATTGCGATGAAATCGGGTGGCTAACACATCGGGAGCTCTGGTGTAACACAGTGCGTAACGGATCACACAGTAAATATGCGGTTAAAAAAAAAATAAATAGCAACGCGCACCAGACTAGCCGGTGCGATCATGCGTTTTGTGCAATTCAG